TTTTTCTCTCATCCCCAGTATTCATGTTAAACTTTGTCATGTTGCCCATTCATCAAAACTTCTGCTGGCTTTGACCACACTGCTGCTGCTTCCTGTCAGAAGGTCACTCTCTGCTCCTAAACCTTTGTGCAATTTAAAGCAGGGAATAATTCCCTTTTAAAGAGGAAGAGTAGTTACACAACTCTCAAACACCAGGTTATCAGTTGTTATGCATGTCTGGCCATGCACAGTGTGCAAACCCATGCATGTTTGGGTTTGCAGGTTATTTGTCTGAGGTGCCAACTCAGAGGACAGAGGATGAATCTGAAAGAATCAAAAGAATCTACCATATTGGATTTTCTAGTGGCTGGAAAGCAAAAGGACAAACCAGGTGTTGACTAAGTGCTTCTCTGCGGAGAGTTTATGCAGCTCGCAGGTGCACTTTGTGCTGCTGTTTCAGTGCTGAAGTGAAAAGGTACAGAGTGCACACCAATAATAAGGAAGTGTAGTATGGATGAGGGAATAAACCGCATGGCTATATAGAGAAAATTGTGTGGTATCAGTCAGTGGACACTTGCATGCTGCAATAAAGGCAAACTCAGTTCTTCATATACAGTCAAGGAAAACCCTGAAACTGCTTTTCTGTCTCCCTGAAGCAAAATGTAGGAATGCTACACCCTCCCTTGGTGTTGCTGTTGTATCAGTATCAGTCTTCCAAAATATTTTAGTACTGGTTACTCTTGAACTCTTGCAACTCCTCACAGAGTTACTTTTTTCAAGTCCACATTCACAGGAGATGGTGATGCAAACCATTAGTTTCTGAGGGAAGAAGAGTGGGAATGAAAACTTGTGATGTGCAGCAGCATTGTGTGTTGGCCTTATTAGTAACGATCTGCCACTCTACCAGGATGCTGGCAGTGTGCAAGGGTGCTGCTCTGCAGCTACTGACCTCTCTTCTGAAGCAGTTCAACCACTCTGAGGAGAGAGCATGGCTGAAGTTTTTATCATTCAACTCCTGGAAACACAGGTCTCATAGTTCATAAGATCCACTGCCATTCATGTTTTATTTCAGTATGAAGGGGAAAGAATTTAGGTTTTGTTGGTGCAGGCTGAAAAAGTTTAGAAGATACCCTTCATGCTGAAAAAAAAATGTATAAAATGTGTAGGTGTTGATAACAAATGAGGAAGTCACCCTGAATTGGATGTTTTTCACTTTAAATTACCTTCTGTATTTTTTGTTATGGCTGCACTTCTAGAAATAATGCAGTTCCCTTGAAAAGAAAGGATGGGAAGTGTCCTGGTTTTTTCTCTCCCCAGCATGTACCAACCTCCAGGAGTAACTTACTGCCCTGAGTATGCTCCATAAGTACTGTGTAAGTACACCTAAAGTAATCATTGTTTAATGCCATAAATAAATATGCTCTGTAGCCACTGTTCAGGTTGACTGATTAATGACTTTTTTATTAAAACTTCATATTCCATTATTTTTACTAACTGCAGCGCACAAGCATTAGCTACTTACTATGGAGGTAATTGGTTTTTAAAATCAAAATATTAAGGCACTCCAATGACAAAGAGGCTTAAAAATAATGACCTTCCAGTGTTCCACAAACATTCTACTCAGGCAATAAAAAAATCTGCATAGGACTTGCAGATTAAAACCCATAATGGTTGCAGCGGCATTCTCAGCCAGTAACAAAAAGGTTTAAGTCAACTCTTAAATACTGGCCCTGTGACCTGGCTGTGGAGCCAAGTGGTCCTGTAGCCACCTAAGTAATAGCTTCTGCAAGGTTGCCACTACTGAATGAAGGTATGTGTGTACACATATATTGTGATAGATAATTCAAACTCAGGGAAATCTGAGGTTGTATTTACTGCAGCACTGTGAACTACAAGTCAATTAAAGATAATGAAATTATGCTCTGCTTTTCTTCCCTAATATTTATATAATTCCACTGCTTTTCAGCTGTACAGGAGTGGGTGCTGCATGCATCCCTCAGCCCCCACTGACTCTTCAATGCTCTACAGGGAAGCAGCAGGGCTTTGTGGGAAGTTGAAGGTATCTACCACTGACTGAGTGGCTCATAGAGCTCTGGCTTGGAGCTCTTGGTATTTCAGTAAAGGAAATCAGGAACACTGACAACCATTTTGGTTTTTTTAAAGGTAGGAGGGTCTGTACATTGTACCAGAGCCAAAATTTCTCTTTGACATATGCCACTAATCCAGTAGGTCTGCTTTTGCAGTAATTCAATTTTATCCAGTTAACCATGATGCAAAAAAAGGTCATTAAAAAATTAAGAGAATGGCTTTAGGCATTTATAATTGAACAAATAGCATTCTGGGCCTTGCCAGCCAAGGCAGGGCTACAGCAAGTGTTCTGCCTTCTGTAGGAGACCCCATTTTCAACAGGACTGAATTCAGAGAAGCTGAAGTTCCAAGGCCAGCCTATCATGAGGGCCTCCAACACTGAGCCACCAGCTTCCTGAGGGGGCCTGAGATGTTCCTGGTGCTGGTTATCAAGCTGGGAACAGCAACTCCTAGCATGGCAGCTGCACTGCTGTTTCAGGCCAGCTCGCTCCCTGCAGCAGCAAAACCCACCCTTCCCTGTAATTTCGTCAAACAAAACCAAGCTCAGAACCATGCTTAGAGAACACATCCATCTCCACTTCCTGGACATGGCATTTTAGTGTTTTTACACCCACGGATGCCAGCTAGGCCAAAGCATGGTTAATTGGCCTAGCTGTCCTTCAGCAGCTGTGACCTTTCATGCTGTTCAGCACACCTTCTCCAGCTGCTGCCTACCTGCCAACCACTGACAGCATCTCAGCCTTCCAGAGGAATATTCAAGCTTTCCTACAGGGAAGCTGGAGAGGGACTTCTAACAAGGGCATGTAGTGATAGGATGAGGCGGGGGAGGTGGCTGAAGACTAAAAGAGGGTAGATTTAGATCAGAAGGAAATTGTTCAGTGTGAGGGTGGTGACATACTAGAACTGGTTTCCAAGGGAAGTTGTGGATGCTCCATCCCTAGGTGCTCTCTTCCCCAGGATGGCTGTGGCTTTGAGCAACCTGGCCCAGTGGAAGGTGTCCCTGCTCATACAGGGAGGCTGGAAGTAGATAATCCTTAAGGTCCCTTCCAGTGTAAACCTCTCTATGATTCTTTAAGAGGAACCATTCTGGAAAGAGGTGTGGAAGGAGACAAGTCTATGCATGCTGCTCCAGTGCCTACAACACATGGGAGGTCCTGCTAACAGCAGATGGGATTAAAGAGGCAGTGTAAGGAGAGCGATAAGAATGGCACTGCAACCGCTCACCCCTTCTTCTTAATCTATCTAGCTAGTGAGGCAGTAAGATGACATAAGTTTTAACAACCCCAACCATAACCGATACACAAAAGGTGACATCACTAATAACAGGAACAAACTACACTGGATATGTCCACGCAAAGCAGCCAGGAGATCTCCTTGAAGTAAGTGCTAAAGGGCATAATCAGCAGGAGGAACTGTGTAATAACCTCCCCCAGCTGTATCTGTGCCAGGAGGTCTCCAGGAAGCACTTTTGTACTTTTGTTTTTCCAGTGACAATCAGTCAGGCCACTGACCTGTTAATTTCCTACTTTTCAAGAGGTACATATGTCAAAATAAACATCAAAAGGAAGGTGGACCTGACCAAAAACCATCCCCAACTTCAGTATGTTTAATGTTTATCATTTGCTGCATCACTTACAAATCAGATTACCATCCAGAGTTCCCCTCAGAGATCATTGTGGAGCCCTTTCTGAAAAGCAAGGAAAACAGCTGGTCTGCTTACACCTACCATGACTACATTACCAGACCCAGACTCTTTCAGCTGAACAACCCTTAGCTGTCACAGGAAAGTTGGCAAGACCTTCGCTCCACAGCTTTGTTGCCATTCCCTCACAGCAGGGAGGCTCTGCTGTAGAGGAGGACCAGAGGGGCATGCTGGAATAAAGTGGATGCTCTCAGTGACAGGTGAGCACTTTCCTGACAAACAAAATGCTGAACCACTGATGTCCAGAGTCAAATTCCAGCTAACAACTGCCAACTCTGTCCTAGGAAGGGCCAGCTTTGGCTGAACACTCATCAGTACTACAGCACTGACACCTGCCTGATTGCCTCACATTTTAATCAAAGAAAGCTACAGGAGGGCTCTAACTGAACACAGGTAGTACCAGTTCACCCAAGACCATGTTGACATCTTAGCATCTAAGACAAGAAACCAACGCCACTCTAGAAATAAAGAAAAACCTCAAAAAAACCCACAAAACCACCCAAAACCAAAACCCAACTTAACAGTTACTTGAGTCTGATCAAGATTTTTATTTGAACTTCACAGAAGTCTGAATGGTCACCCCAATGTACTCCCCAGATCCCTTTCTATACCCTTCTATTCCAAGTTTTCCACATCAAGACATCTCTGATCTCCCCAGACCTTTAACTGTGGGCTAAGTTATAAACTAAGAGCTATGTTTCACCATGGAGAAATCACTATTATTATATTATATAAGGCGTTCACCTTATGTCAATGGATAGTAAACACACCCAATGTTTTATTTAATACATTTTATTTATGCAAAGGCAACCCAAATGTGTGTAAAAGTGAAAAGCTCTTTTTACATATTAATAAAAACTTTTTTTTTTTTTTCCACACTTTCTGTGTGGGAAGAGTGAGAATTTGGCTGTTGTATTTACAGAAACCCACTAAGCTTGTTTGAAAATATAGACATTGGTATTAAGTCATTCTTATTTTCCCTAAAAGCTAATTGCTGTACAGTATACAACAGCTCAAAGTGCCCAAGGGTATCCCATGACTACTTCACCATACAAGCTTTTCATGCCTGATTCGGAGTATTCATGTTTTGATGTTAATGCATCTGCCCAGTGCTTGGTTTTGGGTTTGGTTTTTTTTGTTGTTTTTGGTTTTAGTTGGTTTTGGTTTGTCTTTGTTTTCATTTCTACAGTAGTCAAATTCTCTTACAGTGTATTTCCTTAAGGAAGAAAAGTTATGTTCCTTGACTCTCCAGTTCAGCTGCTGCTATATCTGGATCTTCATCATTGTAAATGTTTTCTGCCTAAAGACACAAAATATGACATTACAAGTGGTAGGCACAATTGTTTTCTAACAATCTTCTACACTATATATATAAAAACCATAATACCAAGAAGGCACAGACATCATCCCCTCCTTACAGGGACGTAATCACTGCCTTTTCTTGAGGGACACCCACATTTAGGAATGTGCACACAATGGCCAGAATTCAGCAGTTGTCTTCTCAAATTGTTTTAGTTCAGCAGCATAAGCATTAGCTATTTTACCATGAACATTTTACTTGGACTTCTTTCAACCACAGTCTGAACACACAAAGCAAGTTAAAAAACAGGTATAAAACAAGACCAAAAGCCTGACCTGTAACACCCATTTAAGTCTGTTACATTTTTTTAACTTACACTATTCCCAAGTGACTTTATTCTACATTTATGAGCTAACTGATCAAATTCTGGTTATGTAAAAGAATATGAACTAACTAGAGAGTTAAAAGGCATCTTGCTTCACAGTCACTGTGCAGAGACAAGGGGGAGAGGAAGTCTTGGCTAGTATTGGATATAAGTTTGCAACTGCCACATTTATTCTTAATATTAACTACTGCCTAAGACCTGGCGTCATGAATTAGCTAGCAGCTGCATTCAGACTAGTTTAGTCTTTGTTTTCTTTTGAAAGTCTTACTCTCCAGTCAAGAGTGTAACAAGAACAGGGGACAGACTACTTTCAGCCACTGAAGGCACAAGCTGCCCTAAGAAGAATAAGCCATTTCAGTTTCATTTATACAAGCTTCAGAGCAGCTGTAGAGCAGTTGTGACACTCACCATTTGCCATATCTGCATTATGTTGTCCTCTGATACAGAACAGATTACCCAAGGCTCATTAGGATTCCAACTGAAGTCTGAAATTTTGGCAGTGTGTCCTCCATGAATAAACTGTTAAAAAACCCACAAGCTTCAGTAAGTCATTTTGTCTATAGAGAGAAGTCTGTTAAAACCCACGATTCAGAAATTAAATTTCTCATGCTGATGACTACACTAAGAAAAAAACCTTCCTACTAGAGATTCACAATACAGGTGTAAAGAAGGTGAGAGACAGCACACGCCATTGCCTGCTTATGGACACATCCACAATTGCCAAGACAGTGTTTAAGACAACAGTTTGTGTTATTATAGCAACAACTGACTGACATCCTCAAACTGGTGTGACTTCACATCACATCAGGCTGTGAAATCCAGCCATGTTTTATTCACATTCCCTCATGTAATTACGTGAGCACTTAAACAGCTACACAAGAAATGAGTAAACCAAAGTAGAAGCATTTTTAGTTGTTTGTTTCCTAAGGAAGCAAAACAAAACACAAAGCTTTGCACTTTCTACATCAATAAGGTTAACTATAAGGGACCCAATTGGTGTAATGCAAGCTAAAACAATTTGAGGCCTTGACTTACACATTTTAGTTATAAAAGAGTACCGATAAGCACACAGCCAAACCGTAAATCTATTCAATAAAAAAGATGTGTAAATCATGTCCAGGACAGCTTTGAAAAAAAATAATTGTCTTCAGAATTGAACAGAGGAAGCCTACTGCCAGTTAGAGCAATGGACTGAAAACAGGGGCAGGGGGTGAAAAGGTTTATGAACTGCTGCAGTTTTAGTAGCACAGTCATAAGGCACCATACTGCCATACAGCACCTCATCAGACTGAAACATCAACAAATGCATACCAGGAGCTCAGGAGGCCCATCTTCTGCATCCTCTGCAGACTGCTCTTCTCCAATTTTACTGTAAGAAAGTAGTTTATTCTTTTCATTAATAATGAAAATGCATCCTATACCAGCTTAACAGTCAACAGCCTTTCTTTCCAGTATTTACTTTTGCTATTGGCTTTTTTGTCAATTAAGTCTAAGCCTCAGGTACAAAACATCAACTGTTTGGCATTATCATTACTGAAATAGTCCAACTTGTTAAGCACATGGAGGTAGAAATCACTTATTTCTAAAGACAACAGAAAACAATTCTATCAACAGCAAGAAATCCTGACAGAAGTACTGTTCTGTTTCTACCGTATGCCTGAAAGACCAGGTCCAAGTTAAGCAAGGAAGGCCAGAGAACAGCACAAATCCAATCTACCAAGTAAAGTGGGACTGCAGCCTGTTGTTTTTTTTTCCTTTTTTCCCTGTTGTCTACCTAGAAGAAAGAAAGGAATTGCTCTCACCTTAGATCCCATACATTAAGCCGACGATCAGTACCACTTGAAGCGAGAATTGTTTCATTATGAGGAGACCAGTGAACCTATTGAAAGGAAACAACTTGACTGGAGCAGTTACTGAATTCCGGAACATACCCTAAATAACCACTGTAAGCACCTGGCCATGAATTTTCAACAACTATGCTCAATGAATCAGTTTCTTTTTTTTTCCTTTTTCCCATCTGTCCATATATACTAAAAGAAAGGAATTGCTCTCACCTTAGATCCCATACATTAAGCCGACGATCAGTACCACTTGAAGCGAGAATTGTTTCATTATGAGGAGACCAGTGAACCTATTGAAAGGAAACAACTTGACTGGAGCAGTTACTGAATTCCAGAACATACCCTAAATAACCACTGTAAGCACCTGGCCATGAATTTTCAACAACTATGCTCAATGAATCAGTTTCTTCCAGCACAGAGAATATCCTACAGTTCAAATGGAGCACTTAGAAGTCTGAAGATTTCTCATACTGAACAGCCAACATTATTTCACTGTTACAGATTCACTGTATCATGAAATGTGTCTAAAATTCACTGTTATTTGCACCTACTAAGTAGGCAGAGTTCATAACATTACATTTGAACCCAACTCCTCTTTGCAGCAGGACATTTTAGAGAAACTTTCCACCCCTACTGAGGGGTAGTTGCAGGCTCCCAGTATCTTTTTAGCAGTATGTTGTGAACTATTTGCTTTCAATTGGAGAAAGGCAGAAAGAAACTATACGGTACCATTTGTACTGTCGAACCAAAATTCACTCTTTAAGAGACTTTTATTTACTGTGGTTGGTCACCACAATAAATTCTTGTCCTACTCCGTGCTCTTATAAAGATTTTGCTATTGTTTTTGAGAAAAGTTCACCCACCTGAAAAATTTCATCTTTATGAGACTCGAAAGAATGGAGCTTCAATTTTAAATTTCGAAGATCCCAGAGAGCCACTGTCTGGGAGAAGTAACAAGAAACCATTTTTACTGTAATGGATATAGAACTGTAATTTAAAATACTTAAAAGGTGTGTACACATAAATACCTTGTCAGCAGAACTAGTTGCTAGAATGAACTCACTGTAAGGGTTGAAGGACAGACAGTTGACCTCGGCTGTATGAGCATCTACAGAATGACTTGGCTTGGATGTGGTATTAGACCTTGTGTCCCAACTGTTGCAATGAAGGGTTTGAGGGAGAGAGAGAGAGAGGCAAGGAGAGAGTGAACAAACAAATTTTCACCAATTTTTTTTCACTACACTACAGATTAGTTTAAGATACTACATTATTACTAAACCTAAGTCCGAAGCTACGACTTTTATTAAAAAATCTTTCAGGATTTTGCATCTGTTGTACATGAGCAGTTGGCACCAGGAAGCTGATACGTATTAATTATGTTTTCTTTTCAAATTATGTAAACACATTAAATGACATGCAGCTTTCAGCGAAGCTGCAGCATTTCTATGGCTGATTGCACTACAGAGCTACATTAGACCACTCCAAAATTCTGTTGGTTTTTGGTGTTTTTTTTTTAAACAAAGTGCTCTGGACTGGTCCACTGAGAGCACAGAGCAGGCACTATCCATAAACCGCTTAACCCCAACTCACATCATAAGCTTCTGGTCATCTGCCACAGATCCAAAGAGGGATTCATGGAGCAGATGCCATGCCACGTCTTCTACTACTGCAGAGTGCCCAGTAAAGATGGCCTTTGCATTGACAACTTTGCCTTCTTTGGGTCCAGCACTTATATCCCATAAACACATAGTCTGCAAGTAAAGAGTAATTTGTGCACAGACCCTGTATTATCTTACAAATAAATAAATAATCACTTCCTACATATAAATAGAGAAATGACACACCTGAAACAGTTTGTTTTCAAAAAGAAACACTTAACATGCCACAAGTGAGAAGTGAGCAAAGTTGTAAATCAGTTTTCTGAAAATTTAAGGCCCAAGTATTATTTATAAGGTCACAAAAGCAACTAATACTTTTAAAGCCCACAAATAAATTTAAGCTAATATTTCAGTTCATTCTTGAATCTTACAAATTTGTGGTCTCAGACTCCAGCCAGTTTAAAGGGTTGTTAATACAATTTATTCCAGTGAGTAATTATAAAAACATTCTGCTCTTACTTCATCAAAAACATTACAAAGAACTGGTTGTCGATACAGCCCTAAGTCAACTGACAGCCTTTAGAAATACCAGGAACAGTACATGAGAGCTTCCCCACATGACAATATATAGCTACCCTAACCTGTTTTTCTCTATTAATCTATTACAGCATAAACTAGCAGTTGTTTGTTTGTTTGTTTTTAACTAGGGGAAGAGATGTGTTTTTTACATGATCATCTGATGCACTGAGAAGATGTCCACTGAGATTTGAGTTCCATGATAAACCATAGCCTTCCTTCTGGTGCCCTCTTAATCTAAGGTCAGGATTACACTCTCCACTTGGGTCTGAAAGAGAGGAAATACTTTCCATTTAGCTTCACCTTGCACATCAATTTGTAAGAGCACTTTTATCACCCAATAACTTTGTTTCCATACACAAGCCTCACAGAAGAACGCTGCTTCTCAGGAGACCTGCTTATGATACTAAGCATAACCAGGCACCTAAAGTCATCAGAGACATAGGCCTTCTTATTTCACTTCCAGAGCCCATCACCTCTCCTCCTAATGAATCTCCTTGTTAAATACAAGCTTGCCCTTCAACAAGAGGCATTTTACTTACATTCAACGAATCCAACCCACCTGGTTTTGAGGGATGTTTGGCGTAGTCAAATACCAACACATCAGCAGAAGGAGTCTTTGTAGCAATAATGCAGGGGTTCTGTAGCATGTAACGTGCACGGTTCACTTCACCTTCGTGGTTAATTTTAATCTCAGTTTCAATTTTGCCACTCACAGATCCAAAGCCACCAAACTCTGTATTTGTCAGAAGAAGGTCAGTTTATCACATCATCTATTTTTAACCGGTCAAACAGCATTTTGTGCACCTCTTTCACACCAAGAGGCAGTGGTAAGCACTGTATTGTAATACAGTAAAGATCATGAAAGACTAGCACCATGTGGCACAACAGTATTAACACTAGGTATTTTCAATCCTTTATGATAAAGACAAAAATTCTGAAAGAGTTTGTATTTGAGGTAGATGGTTATCTGTTTTCACCACCACTGACAGAGCCAACAGAAATGCTAGTAGGAATTGCATATCATCACGTTACCTAAAACATTCTGAAGTAGTAGTTTCCTGGGTTTAGTCAGTATTATTACATCTAGAGTCAGTCAGATCTAGAATTAGTGTGAAGTGGTAAGCATGTCAGCTTTATAATGTAACAGAAAGTTAGAATACCATTAGACAGGACACTTACTAATGCTCCTGCTAAAACAACGTAAGAATGGATACACTGCCCACCTCCTTTCTCACTGTCATACTGTGAAGTATCAAACTGGTCATCTTTGGGAATCTGGACTCTTGCAATAACCAGGAGGTTCTGTTCATCAGATGTGTGTGTTCCCAAAACCAGCCAGTGTAGAGAATAATCCTTTCCTTCTGGTCTGTTTAGACTAATACATGTATGGAATAAAAGAAAAGTGCTTAGTTTGATAGCTACCAAGATCCAAACTTGTGTGTAAGAGATCCTTTCCTTTGTTACAACAGATTTGTCCTATAAAGTGAACTAGACTCTGACATACGCAGGCCAAAGGTAGAACCAGCAAAGCTAGAGTGGCCATATTAAGTCAGTAATCATTGCCAGTCTGGCTAGAAAGAGACAGTTATTATTTGCCACTAAAAGTGACACTATTAGGTCCTTCTGTCTTTAATCCCTTTAGCAGTTGCACGGTATTAACTCAGAAAACAATCAGTACTACTTTCTATAAAACAAAATACTAAGGACAAGTGGAAACATGTCTTAGTTACTTAGATGCTTTTATATTTCACTTCAGAAGTCCATTTTTAAACACTGCACAAATCCTAGCTAACTGGAATAAAATTTCTCTTCTGGCAGGTAAATGCAACATTTAGCAGCAAGCAAAAGGCTGGAGGGACAGTGGCATTTATCTCTAAAAGGAAAACATTTGAACAGTTAAACCCAAGCAAATTCTACATTCTTGAAAGCAACAAACCAATTATGCTGTCTGAACCCAAGCAAGTAGGAATCCTTGGGGCAATCATAAACCATCAAAACTGCTACTACACCATTTCCAAGGCACCATCACACATTTTGAAGGGGAAAAGTACAAGACAAAACAAAAAACACACAATGCACACTCACTTGCATCAGAAACAGGTGTCCCATCATGCCAGGTGCCATATAAAGAGACAGTCCTTGCCTTAAATGGCTTACATATTTTGACACTGGATAATTGGAAATACCGGGTTTTAAACTGAATATTAAGTCAATCTGTAAAATATGAGGCAAGCAGAAGTGTTCCTCATAAGAGCTCCACACCCTCAAACCCCCACTTCGTTTCCTTCATGTCACAACTAGCTAGGCTCACATCTCTCAACATCTTCCCCAAACATTCTGGTATACAAAATTAAGTGATCATCTAACCACACTTGTAAGGTAGACTTCTAAAGAGGAAAGACACTGTACTCTGATTATTGCATGAACTTTACACAAGGTATTTTAAAACCTAGCTGCATCCAGTTTACAAGATGAGGGACCCAACCCTCATCCACTCCCTCAACCAAGCCTGAGCGGTTACTGTGACAATTAAAGTCCTACAGTAGCTCGCACATAAATAGAATCTATCCCCATCTTCAGAATTATTTAAGAAATGAACCACCGAGACCACAATTTTCATTAGGAAAATTAGGATATATGAAGCCAACAGCAAGCAGGGACAGATGTAGGATGTGAAGCACAAGTCTTAGAACAATATCCTCTTAAATATAAGTTCAGACTTGAAACAAAACAAAAGAAGGAAACAGATACTACAGCTTCTACAGAATTGTAATCTGCCTCACTTGAGGAAAAAAACTCATCAAGAAAAAGATAATTTAGTACGTAGATTTCTCTGATCAGAGTTAACTATAGAAGAGTGCTAAGTCTCCTGTATCAATACACGAAGAAATATTTCTCTACACACAACTCACGACAGTTTCTGCTAGACTGAGCTACAGTTCTGTAAAGAATCAACTCGTGCCTCTTTTTTCCTCAAAGCTTCTGCCTACCCAAAGGGGTTTTTTTAAGTTGTAAGCAAAATACAGTGCTACAATCTCAGAAGGAGGAGTCTTAACACAGCCCATTCTTGCCTTGCGTGGTTTCTATCCCTCAGTTGGCGCAGTTAAGAGAGTCAGAGTAGTGGCACAAGCAACTGCACTCAGCCCCTGCTCCCGCTTTGCAAACCGAGCCAACCAGCAGCGGAACCCCGCGTCCCCCCGACCCCTTCCAGGCCCCTCTTCCCTCCTCTCACCGGGCCGCGTCGGGCAGCCACTGCACGGTGAGGCTGGGCCCCCCCAGCG